ACACACACACACACACACACACACACACACACACACACACACACACATAATGATAATTTGACACATCAAATCAGATCCTTTGGTCAAGTATCAGGACAAGAAAGCTTCTCTTTCTGTGTAGCTATACCGGGAAGGGAACTTCTTTATCTTTTTCCAAGATTAAGTTGTTAATTCTTAAATCTTGCCGGGTTTTTTTGTTTTGTTTTTGTTTTGTTTTGTTTTGTTTTGAGGCGGAGTCTCGCTTTGTCGCCTAGGCTGTAGTGCAGTGGCGCGATCTCGGCTCACTGCAAGCTCCGCCTCCGGGGTTCACGCCATTCTCCTGCCTCAGTCTCCCGAGTAGCTGGGACTACAGGCGCCCGCCACCACGCCCGGCTAATTTTTTGTATTTTTAGTAGAGACGGGGTTTCACCGTGTTAGCCAGGATGGCCTCGATCTGCTGACCTTGTGATCCACCCGCCTCGGCCTCCCAAAGTGCTGGGATTACAAGCGTGAGCCACCGCAGCCGGCCAAATCTTGCGTTTTTAAGAAGCAACTCTGGAACTCCATTAGTTAATCTTTAAGCAGGTAGGGGGAGCCCAATTTTAACGGAAAGAAATGGGGTAAGGAATGACTGGAATTTTAATCTAATTCCAGTTTAATTTAAAAGCCATGAAATAAGAAATAGCTTGCTTCCTGCTAGGATCAGTTCTTGGTGCCGTAAGTGCTCTGGTGTAAATGTATTACACGACTCGGAGGAGTGTTCTGTAAATGTGACTGGCTACCCGCTTTCCTACCCTCTTCTCACTGAAGCCCGAGGTCATACTTTACCCACCCACATTAGGATGAGCTGCTTGCTGTTTCGCCCCGGGGCAGGGGTCAGGCTATCGCCAGTGTTTTCCTCACCCCTCACCTCCCCCGCGCGAAAAACTTCGTCATCCTGCAACTGAGCGGTTTCTTAGGTCTTTTGGGGCGAAGCCAAGGTTAATCTTCAGTGTCTGAAGAAGTACTTTCAAACCTCAGTAACAAGAAAGTAAATCAATACACAGAACAAAGGCAAAGATCATCTCTTTTCTATGCTCA